TATTTCAAGGCTTGATTTCTACGCTACAATATTAATTGATCAATCTTGGAATATGGCCTACATATATTCTCCAACCATCTTTCACAAGCCTGAAACTTCTAGACAATATTAAGGTAGTACCAACAAATATTATAACAGGTAAAATGTACTCAAGGAAATCCCGAGCCTTTTCTAATATTTTGCCTGGAGGGTAATTATAAATAAAATGGGTGCCTAGGTTATGAAGTCTATTTTACTGAAGATGCAACCATTATTTTTATAGATTAGGATAATATGGAGGAGTAAATTCTTTGAGTATTAATTAAAAGACATTGAAAACATTGAAAAGTAATTATTAATTTAAAAATGGGCAATAATATGATATATAGGTTTTTAATTTTTAATTAGAAAATTTTAATTTATATTTAGACATTTTTAATTTTAATTTAGACACATCGACTTTTCTATAAAAAGTCTGATTAAAAGTTAAAAATCTATATACCAATATTTAAAAAAAAATGCATTTAAAAGTTACATTTTTTATTTTTTTTTGCATATATTTTTATTGTGATGCCTTATATTTAGTATTTTATTGATATTTTCACCCACACACACTTATATATATATTATTTATTTATTTATTATTATTTTTTATTATTATTTCAATTAAATCTTTGACTATTATCAAAGTATCTCCTATTACTCTGTCAGCAAGCGCTTATTTGTTTCTTCGTTTTGCCGCCTTTTTGTTTGCTCAGGTTTTTGGCGCTCTGCGCTCGGTCGTTTATCGTTTATGTTTAGAGAAATGGACGTTTAGTGCAACGCCTCGGCTTCACAGGTAAACTATTATTTTTTTTTCTGAAATAATTTTTTTTTTCTTCAAAAAACCCATCCTTTAAAAATATATGATAAATGTTATTAACACTGGGTCGTTTAATTTATATAATGGCAGGAGAAAATATACTATTGGAAGAAAAAACCCCATACCAGGAAAACTCTTGAAAATTCTTTTGGAAACTTTAGGGTAATGGCGGATTTTGCCGCCAACCTATATTCTTTCACGAACGAGGAAAATATTTATTAGCAATTTTGAATTTATTAAAACTTATTGTAATGTAAGGATGACATTATTTTGATCCAAATCAAGTTTATAAAATTAGCCAGAGAGACAGTGAGAGAAATTCCCTGTTTATAGTTTCTTTTTTTTACTTAACCTTAACCCTCGAGCGCGCGCACTAAAAATGTAACGTACTTGCGCGCGCTGGGTGAAATTTACCCGATATTAAAATTACATATTTTGAATATAAATATTAACTGAGGAAAAACAAAACCTTTTTCTATTTCAAAGTAATAACATTTTAATTTTCAAAAAAGGCAATTATTAATAAAATATTTATATTTTTTACACAGATTAAACATTTTAAAAACTATTCTTGAATTATCCTCAAAATTGGTAATGGCATATAAAATATGAAACTATTGCTCCTTCTTAATATTAAATATATAAAATTCCATGAGGAAATCATTGCAAACTGTAATTGTATGTCCTTTATAAATTGGTTTTGCACATTTATGGCACAAAGTCGAGGTCTTCCTGTCCTTACTGGAGGGACACACTACATCTGGTAGGAAGCTTTATCTTGCGGTTCCTGACCTTTATGGCTTGAAGTGCCTTCTAAAAAATAATTGAAATAAATATTTAGAGTATGCATTTATGATTTAAATTAACTTATCTGTAAAAAAATGAAATTTTTAATAGTCTTTTAGGCAGTGAAGAAATGATTTTTCTTTGATTTAGTTGCTCTTTGATGAGTTCAAGGGCCAAACACTTCAAGAATTTTCTTCAAAAGAGCTTCTAAAGGTGTATTTTAATTTTTTGCTTCTTCACCTTTCAAGCCTAGTAAATGTGTAATGACATTAGGCGTTCTCAGCTTTACTGTTTGTGAAGGACAATTTTTGAACCATTTGATTTTCGAGGCTCTCCCTATATAAAAATGTGTTTGTGGGATAATTCCCTTATTCCACAAAATTCCTATATCTGAATATATTCCAGTGTCACTTCCATAAAAATGTTCATTTAGATCCTCTTCAATATCACCTTCTACAATAATCTCTTCTTGATCTAATAAATATGACCTTCTTCCCTCCATTTTATATATAATTATAGGCTGATAAATATATCAACCTATTATAGTTATTTTTTAAATTATTAATTCGAATTATTTATCTCACTTTAAAAAATGTTATAAAAAAAATGCAACAAAAAAATTACGTGAGTGCGCGCGCCGGGTATTTTTTACCCGACAGTGACAATAGATGGAATTTCAGTGGGAGCTGTCAAAATGTGAAACCAAAACTTTATAATAATTTATGAGTCAGGAAGCTAAACGAAACCACATATCCGCCAACCGATTTTTTATTGGTTAATTCTCCATTCAAATGTTGCCATGGGTAATTTTCACCCGGCGCGCGCAATGCCGGGTTAACGTAACTGGCATATAACCAATGGATAATATGGAGTCGTGCTGTTTATAGTAAAATACATATATAGGTTTTTATTTTTTAATTAGACAATTTATATTTAGACATTTATTATTTTAATTTAGACACTTTCAATTTTATTTAGACATTTATTTTAATTTAGACATTTTTCATTTTAATTTAGACATGAACTATTTATAGAAACTATTTATTTAAAAAGTACTATATAAAACAATAGCTTTGGCAAATTCAGAAGACCAAAGTTTCAGCAATGTCCCTCATCAGTCAAGTCATGAATCCTTGTGATGGACTTGAAACCATAAGCCATTTTTTTGTAATTCCTTGTGTGTTACTTCGAACCAATTTACATTATTACATAAATACCACATGATAAGGCACAATTTGGATTATAGATTATAAACACAGGGTAATAAGACCAAATCCAAATAAATAGTGTATGACGTTTCGGTAACAGCCTTATTACCATCTTCAGACAAAAGTACTGAATGAGAAATTTTACCACAGCATGTTTTAAAGAGTTACTGTTATAAAGTGTAGTTTCTCAGATAACTATCTTATTAGCTGTTATCTTGTTTACACTTGATAACAGTAACTCTTTAAAACATGCTGTGGTAAAATTTCTCATTCAGTACTTTTGTCTGAAGATGGTAACAATGCTGTTACCGAAACGTCACACTATTTATTTATTTGGATTTGGTCTTATTACCTTGTGTAGATCATTTATTAATAAATAAAATAAAAATAATAATCTATTTATTTGGATTTGGTCTTATTACCTTGTGTGTTTAGCTACCACATAATAGTCATTTTAAAAGAAAATAAGACCTAATCCAAATAATTTATTACTGTGTGTCAAGACACACTCACACACAATATTAAATTATTTGGATTAGGTCTTCTTGTATTATAATCTATAATCCAAATTGTGCTTTATCAATGGTCATTTTTGTGATCATTTTTGGCCACACAGAAATTACAATAACATGTACCATGCTATTAATAAATATTTCTTAAAATAGTTTTTGTTTAATAGTTTTGGAAGTTAGGTGAAAAGACTAACATCCAAATTGATCTTTCTTATCTCCACTCAATCATATCAGGGTATCAAGCTTTGAACACCATCCTGACTGGGTGAAGTAGTATGCCTTTGTCATTAAGACTGGGAGCACTACTCAGTGGCAGGCCGACTTAGCTCCAAAAGAAATGGCCGCCTCTGACATGAGGAACAGACGCCATGTGCAGCTGCTCCTAACATGGAATACAAACGCTGCTCATCCTGTATCCCTGGATTAGGAGCCCTTACAGGGTACTATCATCTAGGCCAGCTGAGCCCAGGTTTTTTAGTGAGCTTGTTACTGCTCCCCCTCCTCCTTTTTCATCCGGGCTTGGGACCGGCAAAGGTGGAGTTTCCAAATAGATGAACCTCATGAAATATTATGTATGATACATTAGCGCACCAACTGTTATGAGAAAATATTATTGATGCTTATGATTCTTTTTTTTTTATAACAGTGGTATGGTAGATTAACCTGGCGAAACTGCTGATAGGATTCACCACTGATGAGCCAGGTTCTCCCATTAATTTTTTTTTGCAGAAAGGGCAGTAGAAAATTGCTTTATTTTTAAAAAGAATCATACACATCTATAATAGTTTTGAAATATTATGTAAATTTGAAATATTATGTATAGTTTATATATTTGGATGAGGCCTTTTGAATCTTATCCAAATTTTATCAGGTGATATAATTTGTTATAGTTGAATTTTAATATATATTTTTGCTTATCCCTAGTACACGTGGTACAGGCCATGGTAATCATGGTGGGTAGATGTTCATTTATTCTTTTGTCTAATGATGGTAACAACGCTGTTACAGAAATGTAACGCACTATATATATATATAATTTTTGCTTATCCCTATACACGTGGTACAGGCCATGATAATCATATTGGGTAGTTAGCGACTGCTTTTACTGTAAGTACACCACATGTCTACACATGTGAAAAGCAGTTCGACTTTGCACTTACAAATGTGCCAGAGCCCCGTTTGGTTACTTGCACTCGCTGGTGGGGTTGGACTTTTGCAAGAATCAGGGGCCATTGGAGCATTATCTCCACTCAATCATATTAGGGTATCAAGCTTTGACAACCATCATGACTAGGTGAAGTAGAATGTGTCTGCCTTTGTCATTAAGACTGGGAGCACTACTCAGTGGCAGGCCGACTTAGCTCCAAAAGAAATGGCTGCCTCTGACATGAGGAACAGACGCCATGTGCAGCTGCTCCTAACATGGAGTGCAAACTGCTCATCCTGTATCCCTGGATTAGGAGCCCTTACAGGGCACTCTCAGCCCAGGTTTTTTAGCTCCCCCTCCTCCTTTTTCATCCGGGCTTGGGGCCGGCAAAGGCAGAGTGATTGATTTATTTGTGAAAAGAGACATTTGCGTTTTGGTGTTTTCATTTTTTATTTTATAGATGGTGTGTTATTTCTGTGTATTAATGATCTGGTTGTTGCAGCACAGACCTGGCCATATGGAACTTCTCCCTGGTTAGCCCCGGACTCTTCCATCCTGTCCAGATCCAGAGGAGTTTGCTACAAAGGTCATTCTGGATGTCCCCAACCAGTAACTACTTTACATATCCTCTCTATGTACATAGCATTGTATCAGCTGACCACCCGCGAACATAAACTCATTCTGAAAAAAGGGAGTATTGTTGGAGATAGACCCACATGCTATCCCCGACAAATGCTGATCCAAGCATACTCTTATCTGATCTCCAACAGCTTGGAGTTCTTCAGTTTATCGCTGTGGATTCCTTTGACCTGTGTGCTGTTTACTTGGAAGCCTCAGTTTTAACAGTACATATACACACGCTCAAGAAAGTTATACCTTTTAGCATGTGTATATCAGGATTCAGTCAATAGCTCTGAAAGATATTTGATACAGTGACCTTTATTGAAGACACACAAGATAACCAAAATGTGAACAAAATTGTCTGTCTCCTTAAAAAATGATAATTGTCAACATCAAATACTTTCTCCACTTCTTTTTGTGTATTAAGTGTATATGATGATTTGCTTAGATCTTTTTAAAGGTTTCTTAACCAATCAGTAAACGTCATACAGGGCTGCTAATGTAACGGAAGTTTTGGAAGTTTCGATACTTCAGTATAATTCTGCCATTTGATTGATTGTTTTTATCAAAGTTAATATGATTGCAAGATTACAAATGGATTTTGACATAAATAATAATTTAGGTGATCAACTACATTGAACATGTGTGTTCAACTTTTATATTATATTTATAATAATTCTGATTTTTTTAAATTTAAATAATAGTTTTATTATTGAATTGTGTAAATACATAATTAAATGACCTTGTAAAATTACCTTTTATACCTAATAACCTAATAACCAAGTTTCAAAATTAGTTATAAATTATTTGTTTTGTTTCTTTCAAAAAATGTATAATATTAAGATTATATAAATTGTTATAAATGTATTTAAAATTATATTTTGAAGTATTTAAACACTAGAGAGTGGGGTGTGTATATCAAGTTCTATATTTTTGAACTAATTCAGTAAAAGATTGTCTCGTACTATTTGATGTTTTGTAACAATAATTGCATCAAGTATAATAGAGAGCTATTATGTAAAAATGTTATGTGTGTATGGGTTGTTCCCCTCTCCATGATTTATTCCAGACAACTCCAATCATCCTCTAGTATTCCTTCAGTCAGCTCTGATTGTGGGATTTTGTCACAATGTCAGCTTTGGCCAGAAACAAGTCTTCTATAGGATTTTTTGTGCTTCTGTGTTTGGTATCGAGTAATGGTAGCTGTCTGAAAAAGTCTGGTGGCTGCTTGACCAGATATTGGGGAAGCTTTTTGAAGTATCTGTTTTGTTGGGTTAGACCTTCTTATTGTACTTGTTTAGCAAAGTTTCTGAAAAAGCTGGTAGCTTTGTACGTACCATGGTCTCTGGATGGCTTAGTTGTGTTAAAATCGGAAGATTTTATAAGCTTTTAGTATAAAAGAAGAAGAAAATTATAAACATAATTATGCACTGCTTTGGGCGACATTGTTAAAATCGGGAGGTTTTATACTTTTACGTTGTTGTTATTGTAATTGTATTTAAATAACTATTTCCAGATCTCTACATGTCCAAATATTCGGGCGCCAGTGGCTGCAGAAAAGCAGACCACAAATTTATTCATCTATGGCACATGTAAATACCTAAAGCTGTGCCGGCTAGCAATTAATGTTGAAGGGGAAATTAACCAATCATTTTTGGCTAAACAAAATTTTATTTAGAATAATAAAATAATCTTTCAATGTACATCAGGTATATTTATTAAAAAACAAAGAAAGATTACTTAACACTTTGAGGAACATTGGTTTCACAACCCAAATAGCCCTGTGAACCAGGATAAAACTTGATTTTTTTTAAAAATCATATTTATAAAAATATATTACCTTGAACAGTGAAATTTGATGCTTGTATCAAAATATGTCTATAAAACACAAAAATTCAATAAAAAAATATATGTTTATTGGCACTTTTTCAAAATAAAAAAATAAAAAAAGAACTAAAAAAATGCAAACTGCCAAAAAAAAAACGCCACTGTTTGTAAAAAAAAATAATCAGGAAATTATTAAAATTTTTACATTTATATACATTGTTATTCCCAGTACTTCATTTCTGTATGGTACTTTTCGAAGCACTCTCCAACGCAAAGTGGAATCTTGCATTGTTTGCACTCAAATCTGGTGTCCTTCCGGGCTGCCTTCCCAGTCTTGTGCTTTGCACTATCTGCACAAACTTTGCACCTTCTTTGCACTGCTTTTCCACTTTCTGGGGCTATTTTATAGCAGTAGTGCTTCCCATTTATATGGAGGATGTGTAGTTAAGCCACATCTATAGCATTCTTCCAAATTAGGTGCACTTACCTTGGAGGTGCTTCCTTTTTGATGGTACACATTATGAGCTTTTGGTCCTTTAACAGTTGATTCATTAGCTGCTTGGAAATTATTTTTATAGTTTACTCTATTTATTGAGGTCATATCTTCATTTGTCAATACTCTAAATTCTTCTTTGGCTGTTTCAAACATTCTTGATATCTCAATTGTTCTTTGAAGATTCAAATTATCTTGTTGCAAAAACTTTTCTTTTAATTGCCTATTATAGCATTTTTCTATTATCCGATCTCTGATCATGTCTTCTTCTAAATTTCCAAATTCACAGGATTTGACTAATTCTCTTAGGGCAATGACATATGAATCAATATTTTCATCTGTATTTTGTTTTCTTTGCCTAAATTTAAATCGTTCTGATACAATATTTTTTTGTGGTGTGAAATATTTAGTTAAAGCTTCTTTTGCTTTTTCATACGTATCTTTTTCTTTGGCAAATTAAAGAAAATTCTTTGGACCTGTGGTCCAAGGCAATGCAAAAGTGTTGCCCTTTTAACGTCATCTTTCTTTGTTGAAACACCGCTTGCTAATTCATAAATTAAATATGAATTCATCCAATGTTTGTACTCGGAATACAAATCTGTAGCATTAAGGTTCAACGGTAATGGAGACGTCAAATTATTTGCCATCTTCTGTTACGCTTATTTAATTATTATTTTATTTTAATCCTCGTCGCCAAATATGTTGTGTTGTTTATCTTTTATACACTACAACTTATATATTTATTATTTAATTATAATTATTTATTTATCACACATTTAAATTTAGTAAAGATTAATTATATATTTACCAAACACAGTCAGTGTATTGTTCTTAATTCCATTTTCTTATATTCACATCACTTATATATTTCACACTATTCTACATAATTCATAAGTTTTTGTAATTTTTTTTAAATATATATTTTTTATAAAGTTAAAATAAGATTATATAGTGTTTTACCTAGTTAAAGAAAGATAAACATATTTTAAATATTTGCCAATTATAAATTATGTTTTGGAACCCTAATGGTAGACCAAGACAATACAATAAAAAGTTATTGGTTCCGGGCTAATTGTCTAAGTTTGGTTATGGACTTCTAACCCCACATCATGGCAGCAGACGCAATGTCAGGTGGCAAGGTATCCTAGGATCTGGCGGCAGATGTATCACAGGGGTGGAGAAAACATTGAGCTAGCAGGGGAACAGTGCCAGGGTGCAGTGAGGCAGGAGTCTTGGTATGGCTTGAAAATCCAGTAGAAGTGGCTGTTGAAGGTGGTGGCACGAGGTCCTTGAAGCCTAGAACTTGAGGGCCCTAGACTTCAGGATGCAGGCGGGTTGGGAGCCTCAGGTTGCTTCCTTTTTGTTGGAGCAGGAGCAGGCACTCTTGGCGTCGGGTGTAGCAGGTCGCATGGGGTGGGTAGTCCATAGGACGGCCAGGGAGGTCTATAGGCCTTTTTAAAAAATCTTCTTTCAGCCACACTTTCCAGCTCCCACACCAGGCTTGGTGTAGTTCCTCACGCACACTTCCTGGTCTGTGGTGACCTCCTGTAGCATGCCGTCTCCTTGAAGATGTCCATGGGGTTCTGGACCTGGGGTAGGGTTGGCATGTACTCCAGACTGCATACTACAATTATTGTACAAATATTGAGATCTGATGTATTATTTGGAATATTTACGGTAATTCCTCATAGTACAAATATTGAGGTCTGATGTATTATTTGGAATATTTATGGTAATGTCCTCATAGTACAAATATTGAGATCTGATGTATCATTTGGAATAGTTATGGTAATGTCCTCATAGTACAAACATTGAGATCTGATGTATTATTTGGAATATTTATGGTAATGTCCTCATAGTACAAATATTGAGGTCTGATGTATTATTTGGAATATTTATGGTAATGTCCTCATAGTACAAATATTGAGGTCTGATGTATTATTTGGAATATTTATGGTAATGTCCTCATAGTACAAATATTGAGGTCTGATGTATTATTTGGAATATTTATGGTAATGTCCTCATAGTACAAATATTAAGATCTGATGTATCATTTGGAATATTTATGGTAATGTCCTCATAGTACAAATATTGAGGTCTGTATTATTTGGAATATTTATGGTAATGTCCACTCATGGAGCGCATGATACTAAATAGAATGCAATACTTCCTAAACAAAAACAAGCTACTTACAAAACTCTGGACGTTCCTGTCGGTGCTGGAGCGTTGTGCCTCTCTGTAATCCTCCTCCCTTTGCTCTAGCCACTGTAGCTTGCTGACTAGGGTCTCCCATGGTTTGCCCTGGTAGAGGTGAGCCTTTTCCCACAGGCTGGGGCAGAGTCCGTCGATGAAGACCTCCGCGACCTCCAAGATGCCTATCTTCAGGCCATCCGACTCTGCTCCCGCCTCAAGGTTGCTCACCCGTTCGGCAAAGTCCCGGACTTTCTCCCCGGCTCCCTGTCTACAGGAGGAGAATTGACTCCTCATCTCCCTTGTGGAGTCTCTCTTTCGGAATCGCCTCTCGAGGCTCTCCTTCAGTTCTTCATACCCTAGACCAGGGGTCTCCAAACTACGGCCCGAGGGCCATATCCGGCCCGCAGACAGATTTTGTCCGGCCCGCGGAGACATACTTGAAAACTCCTTTTAGAGAACAAATATTTTTTATAGCAAATAAAATGTTTGTGATAAGTTGGATAAAGAAACACAGAATGGTAATGAGTAAAGACATGTATAATTTATGCAGTAAATTTAACTTCAGCATATAATAACTAACAAATTATTGAAATGAATCCAACTTACATTTTATACATTGTAAGTAATGAACAACACATACCTTATAACATGACATATGAAATGCTAATGAGATGTATGTAATTGAGATTTTCCACCGACAATAGTTTGTAGTTGTGGACTAATTTTACTTGTACCAATTATTAAAAGAGATTTAAGATGCTCGTCAGTTAATTTAGATCTGTATACATTTTTTGTGTACTTCATTTTGGAGAAGGTTTTCTCACACAAATAAGTAGTACCAAAAACGGAAAACAGCCCACGAGCAAATTTATGCAAATTATCAAATTGTGTCAGTGGAAGGAAGACTTATAAAATTCCAACAAAGATGAGTTTTCATATTTGTTCTTAATTATATCACTGCACTGAAGATCAATCATTTCCATTTGAAGTTCCGGGGCTAGGGTTTCAATGTCAGCATCAAAAGGATTCTGAAAAATCTTAATTTGATTCGGAATGGCATCAAAGTCCGAGAAACGAGTATCAAAATTTATCTTCAAAGCACTCAAAGTTTCGATTGCAAAATCGATAGGAAACTCAGTCTCAGTAGTGTGGCTGAATATTTCACATGTTTTAAAATGCGAAAAACATTTACTTCGTAGTTGTGATTGAAACAGTATCAATTTCATCCGGAATGACTTGATATTAGTGTATAAATCAGGAAGATCCTGGTTTTCTCCTTGCAATCTCAAATTCAGTTCGTTCACATGTTTTGTCAAATCAACATAGAATGCTAACTTCCATAGCCATGCGTTGTTTTGTAATTCAGTAAGAGGGCGGTGCTTTTCATTCAAAAAAATTTCGATCACTGCTCGAAGTTCAAAAAAGCGCTGAAGGACTTTCCCACAACTAAGCCAGCGTACGGCAGTATGATAAGGTAAGTCTGTTTCTCCAATCTCTGCAATAAATTGTCGGAATTGTCGGTGATTCAGCCCAAAAGATCTGATGAAATTAACAGTTGATATGACTGGTTTCAGAACGTCAGACATATCCATTTTCCGCACAAAGACTGTTGATGAATGATACAATGTAAGACTAATGGTTTTGAGCCGCCGTCATTTTCTACAGCCTTTGACACAAGAGCGACCACTCCTTTATCTTTCCCACTCATGTTTTTGCCTCCATCAGTTGTAATACATTTCAAGTTTTTCCATCGAAGGTTCTTTTTATTAATGGCCATTTCAACTCCTTTAAAAATATCGGTACCAGTAGTTGTGCCATGAATACTATACATATCAAGAAGTTCTTCGTGCACTTCATAGCTTTTATCTACTCCTCTAATATAAATCAACACCTGAGCAGTATCTGACACATCCGTTGACTCATCCAAGGCCAAAGAAAACCACTCAACATGTCCATTTTTGTCGAACAGTTGAGAGGATATATTTTCAGCGATGTTTTCTACCCTTCGAGCCACAGTGTTTGCTGACATACTGACAGTTTTTAATAAATTTACCTTTTCAGGGCACATTTCTTCGACTACTGCAATTATGCATTCCTTGATCATTTCTCCATCGGTGAATGGTTTTCCACGTTTTGCAATTTCAAGAGCCACACGAAAGCTGGCACGAGTTGCCGCCTCTTGTTCAGTTTTGACTTTTGTAAATAAAGATTGCTGCAATTTCAATCCGCGCTTCAAAGCTTCGAATTTTTCTGTCCGCACAATTCCTGTATATTTTGAGTAATTTTGAGAATGTTTTGTTTCATAATGACGTTTCATGTTATATTCTTTGAGAACGGCTATGCTTTCATTGCAAATCAAACATAGCGCCTTGTTACTGGACTCAATTACGAAATACTGAATGTTCCACTGATCTTTGAATTTTCTGCATTCACTATCAATTTTTCGCTTCTTTTCCATTCTGCTAAATCACACACAAAAGCAACAATTAATAATAACATTTAATAACAAATAAACATAACAATTAATACAGGAAAATTAATAATTTGCAGTGTTGCCATCTTGGCCCTCGGAACTTACTGGAGTAATCAGTATGGCCCTAAGGCTGGAAAGACCCCATCAGTATGGCCCTAAGGCTGGAAAGTTTGGAGACCCCTGCCCTAGACGAATTTGTTGGGATTGGAAGGCAAACTCCCTTGCAGCTCCTCGGAGATGATTATCCAGGAGGATTCTCTTTCTGGCGTCGTCCAGGGCTCTCAGGTCATAGACGAGTTCGAAGTCCTTTATAAACTTAGTAAAGGGGACTATGCCCTTCCCTTCGAATTTTTCTAAGTTGTACAGCATGGAGGGCAGCTGGGCTTGGCTAGCTGTGGCGTTCTCTCTTTCGGCAGGCATGGTCCTCAGTTGGATCTACGGGAACTAGGTATTAGTTTCCATCCTGACTGTAACGATAGTATCTAGGACCCATAGAGGCGGGCAAAGTGGGGAATACGAAGTGGAAGGAGAGAAGAGAGACTTTCTTTATCCATGTTCCAAAAAAAAAAAAAAAGAAATGTTCGCACTTCAAGTAAAGTCCAGTAATTTAATATGGTAGATGTGGTCTGTCAATAAGGTCGGACGTTATGTCGGGTTTCGACAGTTAAGACAGGCTAGACTACAGCATGTGGCTGCTAAGTAATCACAGCAATGGAATACAGCATGAAGTTGCTAAGTAATCACAACAATGGATTACAGCGTGTAGTTGCTAAGTAATCACAACAATGGATTACAGCGTGAAGTTGCTAAGTAATCACAACAATGGATTACAGCGTGTAGTTGCTAAGTAATCACAACAATGGATTACAACGTGAAGTTGCTAAGTAATCACAACAATGGATTACAGCATGAAGTTGCTAAGTAATCACAACAATGGATTACAGCGTGAAATTGCTAAGTAATCACAACAATGGATTACAGCATGAAGTTGCTAAGTAATCACAACAATGGATTACAGCGTGACGGTGCTAAGTAATCATAACAATTGATTACAGCGTGAAGTTGCTAAGTAATCACAACAATGGATTAAAACGTGAAGTTGCTAAGTAATCAACAATGGATTACAGCATGAAGTTGCTAAGTAATCACAACAATGGATTACAGCATGAGGTTGTTAAGTAATCACAACAATGGATTACAGCATGAGGTTGTTAAGTAATCACAACAATGGATTACAACATGAAGTTGGTAGGTAACCACAGCAGTGGATTACAACATGAAGTTGTTTCTGTATTTCCACCAGAAACCTTAATAGTCTTAAACCCCATTTCTTTAAAAAACAAAGCAACATGGCTTCCATACCAGGGAGCGGTATGTTTACCCCCCCAGGTGGGTTGGAATTATGATAGAATTGGAACTATCTGACAGATCCAACGTATTGAAGACCTTTGCATCCTCGAATGCTCGTAGATTAATATAGAGGGATCTGACAGAATTTACCTTAATGGTGATTGGGGCGTCGCCACCTCCTATCCATAAGGGTTGCTCGAGTATATTGTTTCTGTATCTGCCACCAGAAACTTCAACAGTCTTAAACCCCATTTCTTTCAAAACAAAGCAACATGGCTTCTATACCAGGGGGCGGTATGATCCATTAACACTTTGAGGAACATTGGTTTCACAACCCAAATAGCCCTGTGAACCAGGATAAAACTTGATTTTTTTAAAAAATCATATTTATAAAAATATATTACCTTGAACAGTGAAATTTGATGCTTGTATCAAAATATGTCTATAAAACACAAAAATGCAATAAAAAAATATGTTTATTGGCACTTTTTCAAAATAAAAAAATAAAAAAAGAACTAAAAAAAATGCAAACTGCCAAAAAAAACGCCACTGTTTGTAAAAAAAAATAATCAGAGGAAATTATTAAAATTTTTACATTTATATACATTGTTATTCCCAGTACTTCATTTCTGCATGGTACTTTTCGAAGCACTCTCCAACGCAAAGTGGAATCTTGCATTGTTTGCACTCAAATCTGGTGTCCTTCCGGGCTGCCTTCCCAGTCTTGTGCTTTGCACTATCTGCACAAACTTTGCACCTTCTTTGCACTGCTTTTCCACTTTCTGGGGCTATTTTATAGCAGTAGTGCTTCCCAAGTAGCCTGGCAACATCAGTTTTCGAAGTTGTTTCTTTTTCAGAGTGTTCAATGCTTGCCTGATTGAGCAACTCCCCACCGACAGCCAGATAGAAGTCCTTCAGACTTATTTTTTTATCAGGATTTGCTTTATTGTAAATGATGTTGCCATTTACAAAACAAAGTGAAAAAAGATGGAAGAATATTTTTTTCCACCATTTCAATGTTTTCCTGCTAAAAGAATAATATGCCATCATCTGATCGCTCCGGTCCACTCCTACCTTCCCCTTGTTGTAATCGATGACAGCATCAGGCTTGAACAACTCTTCTCTGGTTGGGGTTTTGGGCTTGACTGGCATCATTTTACCTTCATGGACAGTGGAGAGCATGAAAACATCTCTAACATCTTTCCATTTGATGGCTAAAAGATGCTTTCTTCTCATCTTTTTAATCTCTCCTCTCTTTAGTTTTTGGGAAAATTCGGTTTTTGGCATCGTTTTCCTGGAAGGCATAACTGTGCCAACAGCTAGGGTCTTTTTTTCCCAAAGTTTATCAAATAACTCAGGAGAGGAAAACCACCTATCAAAATAGATATGATAGCCTTGTCCATAAAACCTCTTTGCCAGCCTGTCCACGAGGTTCGGAATGGAGTTGTGCTCTGGCTGCTCAGGATCCTTGCCAGTGTAGATATCAAGATTGTAAGCGTATCCAGATACAGCTTCACAAATCTGGAATATCTTGATGCCATATTTATGAGGTTTTCCTTTTATATACACTCGAAAACCCACACGTCCTCTGAATGGACACATCACCTCATCAATAGTGAGATTTTGCTGAGGAGTGTAGGCATTCCCAAAAGAATATATGAGGGATTCCAAAACTGGTCTTATTTTGAAGAGTCTGTCATGCCCTGGTTTTCCATATTCAATGTATTTTGAATTGTCATTCAAATGTAGCATTGACAAAATTCTCATAAATAGTGTCCTTGGCATATTTATGGACTGGCAAAAGGCATTCTTCAGGAATCCGTGAGTAGACCAGTAGTCTTTCATCCCAGGCTTCTTCACCAAAGACATGTGTATGATGACACAGAAAAAGAGCTTTATCTGTGCCACTGACACAGCCTTCCACTTAGCCAGCATGCCATGTGGCTTGAGAGGACCCTTCTTGGACTCCCGATCAATAATACTCCTGGCATATCGGTTTGTTTCCTCTTTGATGCTTTTGAAAATATTCTCTGTAAAGAAGAGACTGAACGCATCAAATGGTGAGGAAACATCCCCCACTAAATTTAGTCCAGGGCGGGCGGTGAAAGGGGGAGGAGTTGGGGGCGAGGGATCATCTTTCCTCCAGGTGCCGGCGGCAACATTGGAGCCAGCGGCGGCAGCGGACGTGTCCCGACATGTCGTCAGCATGCGAACTGGAGCTACTTCTAATCGTGGCTGTTTAGCAGGAATTTCTTCCCTTTCTTCCTCCTCAAATTCTAATTCATCGGAGGCTGAATTTTCGTAATCAGGATCCTTCACTTCATCATCAATTTCTGAGCCAGAATCGTAAAGATATTCAAGAATATCTTGAATGTCTTCATCTAAATGAACTTCTGATCCCAAACCTTTTGAAGTGCTAGGTTGATCCAAAGGATTCATTTCAATAACGTTATGAAATTAGAGGCAAAATAACTTAGAAAAAAACGAGCGAAAAGAGATTAGAGATAACAAAAACAAACTTGCCTGTTATCAGTTTGTCAGTAAGCTAGCCAATGAGATTGAGCAACAGATGACTAATTTTTTTGCCTGCCAACAGTATCGTCCTGACATCTAGTGATCATTTTTGTAACTATTCATGATAGGCCGATGATTTGCCGAAGAGATTTCTTGACGTACTGCGTTCTATGATTTTCTATTGATTTTTAAAGTGCCGCGACGTATAAAAACGGGGTTGGTCCGCTAGGCTTAATAGCTTATGACGTATAAAAACGGCGTTGGTCTTCAAAGTGTTAATAAGGTGGGACCTGACAGAATTTACCTCAATGGTGATTGGGGCGTCGCCACCTCCTATCCATAAGGATTGCTCGAGTATATTGTTTCTGTATCTGCCACCAGAAACTTCTAACAGTCTTAAACCCAATTTCTTTAAAAGCAAAGCAACATTCTTTTCTGGGATTAAATTCCATGGGCCTAGCCCTGACATAGCTGGGAATCCATCAATTATCCCTTTCATATCCATCATTTATCTATGATTCTTACGTCGCTTTTGACATCCTTCAACACCTTTCTACCATCCTTTCTTTCAACACCATTCAACTCTTTTTCATCCCTCTGGAGTTTCCTCGAAACCCGTCATCGGGAACGAATCCCGATATTACGCTAGTCCACTTTGATATCTCGGGAGTCCTTTCTGGGAATCTGCTCCTCCCCTGCCACTTCTTATCAAAGCTAACGACCTACCCTCTTATCTTGAAAGGAAGGAAATTTCCTCTTATTCTATCTCCCCCCTGGTCTTCCCCCTTTTAAGAAATAAGCTTGTCTCGACGGTCTTAAATTCCTGTCTAGACTGGTCAGTAAATACTTTACTGTAGTCACTGGGAATTTAACAAGTCAATCTTCTTTAGTACTGTTTCCCACTAAACGAGACAGGGCAACCTTATCATGGAAAAATAGAGATATATATGTACAAAAAGTCAGTTGTCTTACAACTTCGCTGAACAATATTCTCTTCAAGAATTTGAAGGTCCAGCATCACTTGGTGTAGCAGCCTGGTGTGTGTTGGAGCTCTTTAAAGCATGGCATGGTTGTCCTTGCTGAGCTGGTGGTGGTGTATAAAAACTTGGAGGATGGGTGGAGAATGGAGCTGGTGAGCTCCTGGAGGATGAACCCGGGTTGGGGGGCTGCGGTATGGGCACACTGTATGGTAGTGCCACTTCCACTATACCTCGCAGATTCCGCACGGAGAATCTTGTCAGCCACAATGGGACATGTGGCTCGACCACCAGGAAAGGGTGTCTATCTCAGACCAGCTTGGTGTTGGTGGGGTCAGGTCATCCACCACAGGTCAGATGGCTTGACCACAAGTAAGGGGCATCTGAGTCCATGTTGGACTCTGGTTAGGGTTGGCTTGCGGCAAAGTCTCGGACCTTCTCTCCAACCTTCTGCCTGCAGGAGAAGAATTGGCTCCGCATCTCTGGTGGAGATTTTTTTTTTAAACCTTCCCAGGC